GTTTATAGTCGTTTGGTAATCCTCCATGCAAACTCTGCACGATATCCTCGCCGTATTTCTTCCCTTGTCCCTACAAAAAAAACGTAATTATTATTGATATAATTCGTACATTTAAATCCAACAAACTAACATTTTCACTTCACAAGACTGCTCATGATTGCAGAACGGACAGTTGAACTCTTGATCGAGCGGTTCGATGGCCTTCTTCCTTGTCGGTGCTTGTCTTTTTGATTTTCTGCGACCCATATTTTATCAAAGTTTTCCAAAATAATAGAAAAGACTGTTCGTTTTGAGCTGGATAAAATATTACTGTATTAAGTTTCGTTTGCACAACTCAAGTGCCAATGGTAAAATGATTCTTGCAGCTTTGTACCTGTACCAAAGACTAACAACTTTCTTCGGGGTGCTATTGTTGGTAGGGCGGATTGATGAAGAGCGCTCCTTATGTTCAATGTCCGAACTAGAGGGTCATATTGTTCACAAAATTTCCCGGAAATCCTCATTACTAAATGGAAAGTAAAACTTAGATTTTATAACATAGACCTGTGCTCCGCAACCGGTGTGCCACTGCACTCTGCTGTAATTTTTCAACGGTCCATAGAACGATGATCACGATGAATGATTGCATTAAAATCATAAACATAATTAAATCGAGAGCGCTAACTTCGCGAATTTTTGGTATACGCAGTGCAGAAATGGGTGCCGTTCGTTGACTGTCCCAAGGCAAAGTTTTCGCTAGATTTTTTATCGTCGCTACGAGATGTGTGAGTATCTTTTAGGCCGAAATATGCCCGAACTATACCAGTATCTCGATGATTATTACTGAATACCCAAATTTGCATACATGGCTGATATATTCGAGCATCAGAATGAACTAAATAAAAAAATGCAAGGTCGGAATGAGAATATATTGACTTGCTCCGACAAATTCCAGGGGTTAAAAAAAAATCTAGATTATTGGCAGGAAGAGTTTTCAAAAAGGATGTTTAGAAATCAACCAAAAGACCAACCATAGTACGATTGAAAACAAGCAATTAATTGTGGATCTGACACAACAACATTTAATTATGTTGCAACAGAAATTTGATCACTATTTTTATTTTATTAACACAGAACAATATGATTGGATTCTAAATCCATTTGCAATCCATGCAATGAAATCTACGGAAGAACTGTCTGCAAATTCGAGAGAAATTTATAGAATTAAGTCATTAGTTGTTTTTTGGATTTTTGTTATGAATGAATATCCTCGCATTCCCGACAACACCATTCTACCACTACTTCCATTTTCGGCCACATATTCATGTGAGCAAAGTTTTTATTTTGTTTTTATTGATAAAGTCATGCTTAAAAAGTCTTGACCAAGAACTTCGGGTTGCGCTGTCAAATATTGAGCCAAATATAAATTTTTTGTGTTCATTAAAACATGTACAGGTATCACAATTAGTCATTATTTTATGTTTTTTTTTATGTATGTATACTTATAAAATGAAAAATGAAAATTTGTTGTGAAATTTGTGTATAAATTTAATATCTATATATTTTAACTTTTGGTGTGCCGCGGAATTCTAGGAACAACTTTGGTGTGCCGTGGATGCGAATAGGTTGCGGAGCACTGCATTAGGTTATATTTTATTAATCATTTTAAAGTACATGATATTTGCAAGCAGGATTCTAAGATTTCGGAGAATCTTTTGGTTGCTCATTCGATCATGCATATATGGTTTAAACAACGCACATCCCACTTGTTTTATCAAAGAATACCTAAAATACTTCTTTGCCAATAATGAGAATTCATACATAACTCTAATGTTGACACCAGCCATATTTAATATGCAATGAAATAAAGTCATTGCCACATTTTTCTCGAGTGCAGCCACACCTGCTTTAGTCTAATTATAGAAATGTATCATATCAGGTTTTATTTTTGTTTTTTTTTATCAGTATTGGATATCAGAATTACTGATTTTCCCCTCTTTGGTCCATGGGAAACCAAATTTATTCCACTTATTGATGATATTTCGAGAAGGTAACTGCTATAGACGGTTCACTTCCGAAATAAATAAGTACCTCTCTCCGGGACTGCTATGCTCCTAGTGAGAAGTGCACTGGAATAGCTAGAAGATCAATCCCACCAATGTCAGGTGGGTCTTTCTGACCCATCCGTACTTTTTAATAAACACAAAGTATTGCATACATCTATATTTTTTTAACTTAATCCTAGATAAAAGTGAATAATAAATAAACCTGTTATAAGTTGAAAAAAAAGTTATCTACTACTATTATTAGGTATATAAACCCAATTATTTTCCAACAATGGGACTTTCTTTATTTCTTCACTTTTCCAATTACAAAAGTATTTCCTTGCAGAATGTGTCTGTGAATAATGGATTGGGAGAGGTGGAATTGCAGCTTTGCATCCCCGGCGAGTTTAAATAATTCCGCGGCGGCTTCGGTTAAAGGTCAGAAGCGAACAAAAAAAAAGAAATAGAGAGCAGAGAGCAGAATTGATTCATTTGTTCTGCGTTTTCTCATTGGGAAAAACTTTTCCGAATCGAACGGAATTTAATGAACGAACCAAACGCAAAACCAACTAATCGGGTCGAAGTGGTTCTAATCCAGTATTTTCAATATCTCGCTTTTACTGTATGCTTTGGAGATACAGAACAACCGCACTTTGTTAAACAATGCAGAGACTCTCTTGTATTTTATGCATACTCTTTGCGGGTGGACGTGTTTCGTTCGTGTCTATGAGCTCCGGGGGAGTCAGAAACGTGTGCGATTTAAGTGAAAAGCAACGCTCCATTTACTTTCGGTTTACTGCTTCAGGGGGCGGCGGTGGCTGCTGCGCGGTCGAACAAACTCCCCATCTTTTTGGAAGCGAAGCGGGGACCAAACGAAAGAGAATTTAAATTTATTGCTCTCTACGTCGGGTCGGGGTTGGATACTGCAAATGTACATCGATTTACTTCTGCACATTTCCACCTGAGCCGTCGTCGATGCTAACGCTGCCGCCGCAGCCACCTCTCCTCAACAAACAACAAACAACCCTTAGGTGACGCGAATAATGGAGGGTGAAACTGTCAATAGGAAACAAATGAAAACAAACAAACAAACAAAAAAGTGAACAAAGCACAACATAGCAGCAACAACAAAAAAAAAGTGCGGGCAATCAGCTAAATGTTTATGGAGGAATATGGACGAAGAAAAGGCTGATTATTTGCGCTTCGTTTGAGAAAAATATAAAAGTTTATGCGCACTCTAAAAGATTAGCGAATCGCTTTAAAAAAAAAGCAGCAACTGCACGGATAACGGAAATTATCGGCGTTTTTTTTTTGTTGAATGCAGGCTTTAATATAAACGGTTTATATTTTTTTAAATTCGATACAAACGAAATCAATACTTTTTCAATCTACAATTTAATTACCATCGAAAGCTAATGCAATTCTCCAAAAAGATTATATAAAATAATTCAGCGTATCGATAAAAATAATCGAGTTATTTGATTTTAATTCCGCAATATTTGCAAAACGAAATGAAATGCAATTAATAATAATAATAATATTTATTTGCAATAGTTCCATTGCAACTATTCTCAACAAACTAAATAAAAATTATTACAATTATTTCATTGCAGTTATTTTGAAATGCAAATTCATTAAATATTTGTGAAACGTTCGATTTCGAACTGAATGTTTGGTTTATTATATCTAAAATATGAAGTAGTATAATTAACCAAGTTATGTGACTAAACTATAAACACAGTTTCGCCTTCTTAAGCCAAGAAGTCTGAAGAGCGGTTTAATGAATAGAAACAGTGGTAGTCAGTTGGTGTAAGGTTTGAGGAATTAGGTGCGTGACAGAGAGTTACCAAGTCCAGTCCCACTCTGAGCAACTTAATTCGTGCGACTAGTTATCGAGAATTGTCCTGCAAGTGATTTGACCTTACTTTATTCACCAATCTTGGCTGCTTATTCCCAAGCTCCCTCATTATTTCATCTATATGATTGCAGAAGACATTGATCGTAATCGATTGAGTGGGTTTCATAAAGCTATAGTGGAAAACACTAGTACTGGACCACTAAATAGACACCATAAGCTTCCACTAATGAATATTTGGTTTTGCTGTGTGTTTTTGCCTTTATTATTATGCAATCATTGTGCCGATTTGCCGAAAAGAATCCATTTTTCGTCATACGTAAAGTGTACACGATACAAATGATTGGCCTTTGTATCGTGACAGCAAAGAAAATCAAGCTTAGAAGCGATTTTTCGTCTGACCCATCTATCTATTTCCTTAACTTTACGGATTTGTTTCAAATGGTTTAATATTGTTGGAATAGTAAAGTCAAACCTAAAAATCACGCCTAATTTTAGGTGTATCTGTTTCAGCACATCATTATCCACCTTCCTGTCAGGTCGTCAAATGGTTCATTCTGAAGATCAAAAACGCCAGATCAAAATTTCTCATCAAAACGTACTGTACGTTCATTAGCCACATTCTTGCCTAATATTTCGTTGACACTTGGAATGGAACTCATATTCGAATACAACTCAATTTTTTGAGTTATCCATGGTTTACTAAATTTAATCTACAACAGACAAATTTACAGAAAATAACAAAACAAAACGTGTATCGTAAAAAGTTATGAACAATTATGATTTCGCTTATGTAATTCTTATTTTTTGTGTTTTATTTTTTGTTTAGATTAGATTAAATTATGGAGCAATTCCTCACATAGTGCGGTTCAGAAAATATCCCGGACTGTTTGAAACTTGAAGTCTATAAAACCGCATAAAACACAAAAAGATAAAAGACAATAAAATAAATTTTTGTACTAATTTTTTAAAATTAATTTTTATTTTGTTTGTTAAAATCGTAGTTAACTTTGAAATTATTAAACCGGACTATAGTGAATCCGAACTAATCGAAGAAAAGCCATAATTATTATAACTATTTTGTTAAAAGGCATAAAAATCTTTATTCATATACAATTTATTTACAAATTATTCTCCTAGGTTTTCCTAGTCCTAGAGATTAAACTTGGTTTTCATTGATTTTCATTATTCAAGATTAAATTACACTACGTTTCCGTAAATATTCACTTGATTATTTCCCCTTGAGTGCGAACTTTGTATTCAAGCCGGAGGCATCCAAACTGTGCATATGGTAACCATGGTTACAAATTGACTTGTTTAATTAATGATTATAGTGATCAAATATGTGCTAAATATTTAAGTGTTTT